CTCCTTCAAGTCCCTTCTGGCCACCAGTCCTCTGGTGGTGGCTTCTCTGGCTTTCTCAGTCAACTCAGTAGCACTGAACTGCCAGAATTGTTCTTCACCATTGAGAGGAGGCAATCAGTAGGAAGATGCCCCAGCTTCTAGTCTCTTACTCATTCCTTCAGAGAGCCCCCGAGATTGAGCCCACAAGGGACCCTGCTCAAAGGGTGGGGTGACTGTTCTTCTTTCCTGCTTTGTGTGCCTTTCTCACTGTGCCTCTCTAGATAACCTCCCTCACAACCTCTTCCCATCTCCTCTCAGACTACTGGAGGAAGAAAGGGAGAGATGCAGATTAAGTCCCATGTACCTACATGTCTGACTAAGGAAATGCCTTCTGGATCCCTAGCTGCTGCCCACAGCTGGAAATATGTTTCTATAGTGATATCTTGCTTTTCCTCACAAATAGAAATAAATCTAAAGCTGGGCAGTGATGAATCACATAGGCAATCCTAGATACTCCGAAGCTTAGAGTTGAGGATTGTGGTTCAAAGCCAGCCAGGAAGAAAAGTCTGAGAGATTCTTCTCTCCATTTAACCATCAAAAAGCTGGTTCAAGTGGTAGAAAGCTACCTTGAGCAAAAAAAAAAAAAAAAAGCTTAGAAACAGCACCCAGGCCCTGAGTTCAAGTTTCAGTACTAGTGTAAAAAAATTATATGTACTATGTGGAAATTGAACTTGTGGACAAGAATGAGAGGGGAAAGTGAAGAAAGAGCTGACATTGTCCAAAAAGAAATGTACTCATTACCTGACTTATGAAACAGTGGTAGAGCGCTTGCCTTGCATGCCTGAGGCCCTGGGTTTGATTCCTCAGCACCACATAAGCAAAAAGAAAAAAGCCGGAAGTAGCGCTGTGGCTCAAGTGGTAGAGCGCTAGCCTTGAGCTGAAGAGCTGAGGGACAGCACTCAGGCCCAGAGTTCAGGCCCCACGACTGGACCCCTCCCCAATAAAAGAAAGAAACACTAACCCCCTGTACAATATCTTAATAATAACAATAAAATTATATTAAAATTGCACTTGGGGTAAATATAAATAAACCTACTAACACTCCTCAGTACAGCTGAAGGACTGAACACAGAGAATAGAGTGGAGCCTGGGAGGGAGAGAGCCCATGATCTTTTGCCCCAGGGCTTTCCTTGTTTCCTAATATCAGTGAGGTTCAGGTCGATTTTCCATGGGTTCAGACTGGCCCTGTGGGACTTTGAAGAGTAAATCCAGCCCCCCTTCCCCCAAAAATGGATTTGCCAGGCGGTGGTACCTTACGCCTGTAATCCTAGCTACTCAGGTGGGTGAGATTTGAGGATCACAGTTCAAAGCCAGCCCAGGCAGGAAAGTCTGTGGGAATCTTATCTCCAGTTAACCACCAAAATACTGAAAGTGGTGCTGTGGTTCAAATGGTAGAGCACTAGCCTTGAGGAGAAGAGCTCAGGGACAGCACCCAGGCCTAGAGTTCAAGCCCTACGACTGACAAAAAAAAAAAAAGAAAAGAAAAGAACTATCAGGACCCTGTGAGACTACAGAAGACTTTCTAGAAGTGGTTTGCTCACATTCCAGATATCCTGTGCCTGACTGGAAAGCCCAATACAGGGTCTAGCCATTGTCTCTGTTTTATGCCCCCTTGGGAGAGAATTTCTAAACTTAGATACTCCCTCCTCTGAGAAATTTTCAGAGATTCACCCTGGCCCATAAGGACCTTCTTCCAGGTTTCCAAAATACTTTTCTCATGGCTGCCATGATGCTCTATTGTCTTTCTGCTATGAGGCTTGATCCTGGTCTCCTGGATAGCTATGCCAGGTATCCCTGTGCTTGGCATAATCTTACATGTAAATACCTATGAAGAAGGCATGAGACTACAAAAGTTCTCTAGCAGAGGTTAAGATTGGAGTAAGAATGTAGAAGTGAGTATGATTCCAAAGCCAGATGCACATACAGTGATTTAAAAAACTTTATTTTTCCCCCAGATGCTAGGGCTTGAACTCAGGGCCTGGGCACTGTCCCTGAGCCTCTTTGTGTGCAAGGCTAGCACTCTACCACTTGAGCCACAGCTCCACTTCTGGATTTTTCTGAGTAGTTTACTGGAGATGTCTCACAGACTTTCCTGCCTGAACTGGCTTCAAACCACCATCATCAGATCGCAGCCTCCTGAGTAGCTAGGATTACAGCTGTAAACCACTAGCACCAGGCTCTCACAAGTGAATTTTTTCTCCATAAGAAGGCAAATCTGTGAAAATACAATTGCTCCCTTGCTTCCATGCCTTACTGCTTTGAAGGGCTATAAGAAGCTTGTGCTCAGAAGCAAGGAGCTGGATGGCTCACATTTGTCATCCTAGTTACTCAGGAGACTAAGATCTGAGGATCATGGTTCAAAGCCAGCCTAGTTAGGAAATGCTGTGACACTCTTATTTCCAATTAACAATCAAAAAAAAGCAAAGCTTGGGCTCAAAGTATCTTGCAAATGAGCATATTCAAACTGAGCCCTTAAAGCACAAACCCAAAGCCAGTCATTTTGAGCTACCCAAATGCATGAAGGCAAAGAGATGCAATTCACACTGGTGCTCTCCTTCCTCAAAGAAGCTAAAAAATCAATCCCTTCCCTTTCCTGACATATCTAATTGTAATCCACATGAGAGCTGTTTATTTTGTAGTATGATGTCTGGAATTACATAGGCAACTGCTCTACTTGTAAAGATCAGATCTACAGGTAAGATTCCTTTTCAGATCTAAGGAAGGCTGTGAGCAAAAGCCAGCTTTGTTTTCTATAGCATGGGCCAGGTTACTCTTGTAACTGCAAAGGACTTCCTTTAGAGGCTAATTTGTCAAAATGTTTTCTTTGAATGTTCTGGAATAATTAACTACACTAAGAAATATTTCACATAGTAAAGATGAACCAAGAGACAAAAAGTATCATGAAGACAAGCAAACATAACTTCCAAATGTCTAGTGAAAATTCAGGCATTAGTGGCTGGAACCTGTCATCTTAGCTGAAATCTAAGGATTGTGCTTCAAAGCCAGCCTAAGCAGGAAAGTCCATGAGATTCTTATTTCTAATGACCAGAAAACCAGACATGGAGTTGTGGCTCAAATGGTAGAATTCCAGTCTTGAGTGAACAAGCAAAGGGACAGCACCCAAGCCTTGAGTTCAAGCTCTAGTAACAGCCTATGCATGCGGATGTGTGGACATGTGTGCACGAGTGAGCACATGTGTGTGCGCACACACATGCGTGCACGTGCACACACACACACACACACACACACAGAGTCTAATGAAACCCAAGGCAATTCTGGTGTCATTTGAATTCAAAACCAAGTTTTCTAAGTCTGTGAGGCATACTCCACTTGCCTGATCATATATTGCTTCACTTTCTCACAAATCTAATGAAACGATGCTCGACTGAGACATCCAACATCCAAATCTACCAATGTCTGTCACACCTGCTTTCTTCTACAATGTTATTATTGCTTTTGTCCAGCTGAGTTGTAGTCCAGAGATCTCCAAGAAAGGAATACAAGAGTTATTCACTTGTTTGCCTCTTCCCCACCCACCACTACATGATAAAAACAACACTTAGTCTATGTCCCTTAAGTGCACCTCAGTCCTTTGCATGTGGATCTTTCTCCTCAACACTGGGAAGCTGAGCTTAGCAGACAGTACAGCTTGCCTGAGAGGACACAGGTGCATAGCTAGCAGCAGAGCCCATAACTATATCAGATTTTAAGTGACATGAAATCACCACAGAAGTTCTAGGATATGTAAAGGAATTCAGTTAAAATCGACTAAAACACTACCATGTAGGAGAATATGACTAATGCATGCATTTCACACACATCCATATACACATGAAGCATTGGCCACTTCATTGCACCCATGTGCCCTATTCACAAGTACCATGAATAAATGCTTAACCAAAGAAACAGTCCAGCTTTGCTTCTCATTGCTCTCATTTCAAAAGACCATTCTTTTGCCATTGAAAGTTTCACAAACCATTTTCTACAACTTAGAGGAGATGGACTTCTTACAAGTGTAGACCAATGGTGTTAGAATGTTCTTAACCACATGTCATGAATTGCTTTTTGAAAAGAGAAAAATCAACTCTTAACCATGACCTTCTCCAGTGAGGAGAAAAGAGGTATTATTATGGTACTTAGCACATTGCTTAGAAGATAATTACAACATATAATTACTTTCTGGGAAATTGCTCTACCACTGAGTTACATCCTGAGCCCAATAATTGCTTTCTAACTCAAAGATATGCAATACAGTGATTTGAATAAGGTGTACATGAGGCATTTTCTGACCAAAGCAGACGAAACTTCTTGGCCACAGAAAAACATCTATTTCACAGATTCTGTCCTCATTCTTTAGAAAGTGATAGAAACTGGCATCTTTTTTTCTAATGGCAGGAACTTTACTAGTCTATGAATAAACTCTACTACAAACAATGCTGATATGCTGACTTTGAGAAGTTTACAATCCAATTATTACTGAAGAGTATGTATAAACTTCAAAATCATTAACAATAATTGGCATGCTTTCCTAAATTATCTACTCCAATGAATATTTCCACTTTCAACTATACGCAGTTCATTCTTGAGGCTTACCATTGGGAATTCTCTCTTGACATCTTGAGATTCCTTTTTAAGAAGAACACAGTGCAGTACATTTTAGAATATCAATCTCATATTAGAGTTCCCTATGTGAAACAACAGACATAAACATTGAGGTTGTTCCATACTTCTATGAATTAATTATACAAATTATAGTGGAAGGTTTGTTTCCTATGTGGCGATCTTGTCATGTTCACAAAGGTGAACTAGATGTCATGTATCACAAAGATGAACTAGCACACAAACCTGTTAAGACACTGCAAGTCCTGACTCACCACCAATCTCAATTGCTAGATTGAAAGCCTCTGAGATCGTTCTTTTCTGAGGCAAAATCATAGAAGTCCATTTTTATGAAGGCTTACCTGGTAATTTGTGTTCTTGTACTGAAGTCAAGAGACCTCATTGAGCGCAGAACTTCAATGCACCCCAAGTACTGCAAGGGGAAGAAATGAAAATCATGAGCCCAGGGAACTGAAATGAGAAAAAGAGTCTTAATTACAAGAGCATTTTTGGAAGCAATGGACTCTTTTCTTTTCTTTTTGGCCAGGGCTAGGGCTTGAAATTAGGGCCTGGGTGCTGTCTCATAGCTTTTTTTTCTCAAGCCTGGTGCTGTACAACTTGAGACACACTTCAACCTCCAGCTTTTTAGTGATTAATTGGAGATAAGAGTCTCACAGACTTTCCTACTAAGGCTGGCTTTGAAACAAGATGCTCAGACCTCAGTCTCCTGAATAGCTGGGAATACAAGTATGACCTACTAGCACCCAGCTTAATGTACGTTTCTTTCTTTTTTATTTATTTTTGTGCTGATCCTGGGGCTTAAACTCAGGGCCTAGCACTGTCCCTGAGCATTCTTAATTTAATTTATTTTTGCCAGCTGTGGGGCTTGAACTCAGGGCTTCAGCACTGTCCTTAAGCTTCTTTTGTTAAAGGCTAGCACTCTACTACTTGAACCACAGTGCCACTTCCAGCTCTTTCTGTTTATTTGGTACTTAGGAATCAAACCCAAGGCTTCATGGATTCTAGTCAAGCACTCTACTACTAAGCCACATTCCCAGCCCTCCCTGAGCATTTTGTTGTTGTTGTTCTGGTTTGTTTGTTTGTTTTTGTTTTGTTTTTGCTCAAAGCTACCACTTGCTCTACCACTTAAGCCATACCTCTACTTCCAGCTCTTTGTTGGTAAATTGGAGAGTAGAGTCACAGGGACTTCCTTGCCTCAGTTGGCTTTGAATTGGGATCCTTAGATCTCAGCATTCTGAGTAGCTAAGATTATAGGGATGAGCCACCCATATTTGCTTAACGTGCATTTCTTAAATTTTAAGTATAAGTTCCATGGTAAGGTTTGTTCATATCTATAAGAGAATATTTAGAGTTCTTAAATTGTCACTACATTTGATTTTTTTTGAAAAAGGTATCACTATATAGCTTCAGGCTCACCTTAAATTCATAGTCTTTCTTGCCTTAGCCGCCCAAGTGTTGGGATTACAATCATGTACTAACACACATGGCTTGCGCTTGAATTTTCTAAAGCCTACTAGTATTTCACTTTGATGAACACTTTATTGTGGAGCAACTTATACATCACAAATTACAGAAATCATAAATCTTTAACCAAATGCTATTTCAACACATTTAACACCCAGATCTCAACATCATAATTTTAGTTCTTGTCTCTTCTAAAGATGTATAAACATAGGCCCAAGACCAGTGGCTTACACCTGTAGTTCTAGCTACTCAGGAGGCTGAGGTCTAAGGATTTTGGTTTGAGGCTAACCGGGGCAAGAAAGTCCTTGAGTCTTATCTCTAGTTAACCATAAAAAAACTGGAGATGGAGTTGTGGTTCAAGTGATAGAGAGTGCTAGCCATAAGCAAAAGAGCTCAGGGACAGCACCCAGGCCCTGAATTCAAGTCCCAGGACTGGTACCAAAAAAGAAATTTAAAAGCAGAATAAAAATACAGAATGACTCATGCTTTCTTTAACATTAAACTTCACTTTCTAACAAATACATTGTGAATCTATGAAAAATCTACTTTAGCTTACCAGAAAGCCCTCTTATACATTATTTGCCATATATTTTCTGAAGTTCAAATTCATACATCTCAATGTATAGCTAAATTCATACATAAAAAACATAAAGCTATGTGCACATAACTAAGTTATGATGAAGAACTAAATATAACATTTACTATCTTAGTTTTTGAGAGTTTAAAGATACAGATGTTTGACACAAATGCCTAGATTTAACAAACAAACCTCATGGTGTGGGACAGAAAAGACTGCATTTGAATTATTCATAAGACCTAAATGTGAGCCTAGCCTTGTCATCTCATTATGTAACTTTAAGGAACATTTGGCATCCTTGAGTGGCTCTACAGCGATGCCTGGGGTTCTTCCTCCCCATTAATATTCCAGCTATTTGATTATCTCTATCACCAACCCAGTCATGTGGAAGCCACCGAGATTTATGAGGGAGACTACCATAACACAGAAATCGTGTGACTATGACAACTGACACCATTGTTGTTTTTATGAAATAACAGGGCCAGTGTCCCAGAAATATGCGACAATTATCACTATCAAGCCACAGGGTTATATGCAAACACCCTCTTTGCAGAGGTATGTCAACTTCATGGTCAATGTCACAGCTACACGAATGTCACAGCCCACCACAAAGTTGTATGAATGCCAGGCACATTGATGCCCTGAGTCTGGAAATATGACCAGCAGATACATCAAATACCATGACCCACCCTGAAGAAAACCACAAGAAATAATATGGTGGAGTTATATGGTCACCACCATTGTGTAAATATCATGACAATGTAATTCGTTACATGGAAATGATAAACATCAGTGTAGAATTATATCGTTACCATCACCACTGTTGCACAGTTATAAAATACTTTCCTCACTATGGCTATGTATTTCCATGAAAAAGGCAACCCAAACCCCAAATTAATATAAATAGCACATCTACCATTACCATGTTATATGAAAACCATGACCCATATCACATCCTCACATATGAACATCCTCCCACACCATGGATGCATCGTTATGTGAATTCCATGACCAAAAGTTTAAGAATGATAAGAGCATAACTGTTATAACAGTGCAGAATTATGTGAATACAGTTCCCACCACTGTTTCAGAGTTTTGTGACTTCCCAACAATTTATACCTTCTGAACTGTTTATGAATACCCTAGTTACCAGTGAAGATTTTAAGACAACTACCACCTGTAATATGACGTTATGTGGAGCTCACCAATCTGTGGTGGGTCATGTGATAACCCTTGTCTTCCAGGTCCAGCCATCACATTTAGGAGTAAGGTGATTAAATATGATGACCACACCCAACTTTGTAGTTCTAAGATCACTATATATACAATATCATTACAGTCACATGATTATATCTACAGATACCATCATAGAACTGTTTGAATAGTACATCTACTGTGGCATAAGAGAGTATAACTCCCATACAATTATTCAAATCCTAACCCAACAACATTGAAACAAATGTTAGTATCATAACCAGAAACATGGCATTATTCAAATATTGCTACCACTCCTGTTCAGAGCTTTGAAAATACCACAATGACCAAGGTAGCTGAGTAATGTAAATGTTCTGACTAATGGCACAGTTCACCGCAGCTGCTACTACCTTGCAATGATATATCACTGCCAATGCCACTATTGTCACAGAGTCACAAAAATGTCGTGGCCAAGGTACAGAGTCCCATGAATAAGACCATTACCACCATCACAAGATGACTAGCACCACAAATACTCCACAATTACACCAATACATTAAAAACATAGCAGAGTGATAGGCACACCATGATGAATTTCACAGAATATCTGAGTTCACCTCCACCAATGTTTTGGGTCATGGGAATTCATGTAGCTATTTAAGTATCACCTCTGTCACTCTCATGGTACTTGGTCAGTGCCATGGAGAACTCAGTTCTTGGAAGAGTTATTCATGTAACCATAGTTACAGAGTTATCATATACCACCAACATCACTGTCTCAGAGATACATGCATGAATAAGGTCACTAAGAAATGTAAGTACCACTAACATTGATACAGTGATGTGTGTAAACAGCACTAAGAGTGTCATTGATTTACGTAAACATTGTAGGCTAAAAGAACATCAACACCATCAAGAGTAACCATGTGGCAGATATGCTCAAAGCCGCAAAGTTATGTGAACACTACCACAAATGCCACAGAAACATGTAGAGCCCATAATGTCACTGGGATGAGGGTTCACAATCAATGTCACTGACACCAGCAAACCACCATCAGAGTCAAATGAACACCACCAAACACAGTGTAGCAAAGTCGCACATATCCATAGCTACAGAAATCCATGAAATTCACCACCACAGTGGAAAATTGCATAATCATCATGTCACCATATCATGTAGTAACTGACACCACAGTGTTACACAGCGACATCAGGACCACACAAATGTGACCGAAGATGATAATGGTCATGGGGTTCAGTGAACACTGCTATCACCCACCTTGTAGAACAAGGCTGGAGAATATCCAGCCCTCTGGCTATATGAGGCCCCAAATCATTTGGTCTAACTCTGCAAAGGAAATCACAGGCAGGACTCAAAATTCAATTAATCTAGGTGTTATTTTGCTCATAGCAAAATAAATTTATAGTAAGTGCATTGGTGTTAATGTAAAATCTGAGGGACAAGCAAGGTACATCCATTATTGGATAGACAGGACACATACAGCAATGATTCTTCTCATTGGCTGCCTGGGGCCATCTAACGATATTGCAATGACTCAGAGGGCAGTGTACATATTGTGAAAGTGTTAACACACTGGCAAAATTCCAGTGGTCCACTGATGAGAGGAGATGTGATAGATGATTCCTCATGAATGCTGATGATTGACAACAGTGTCATAGACTTCTCTGTAGTCACAGATGATAGCTCCATCCAACCTTTATGCACATGTCCATCATCAACAATCTTCATAAAAGAGTCATATATACATATAGATATACTTATTACCTTACTCTTGAACCTTACTCTGTAATCCCTTTGCTCATCACCTTTACAATAAATAAATAAAATTTTTAAATTTAATTTTTTTTAAAAAAGAGAGTTAGTGAAGGTTAGGGGAATCACGGTACACAGAAAAGACCTCAAAAGTTGATGATAAAAAACATTGGATGTGCTCCAAATCCAAGATGCAGGCTTAGAACAGCAATCCAAGCAAAATAATTACATCCCTAGTAAAATTCATACCAGATAGTTATTGAAATTAAAGTGGCATGACATCCTACAAATCACATCTAGGAAGAAAAGCTGAAGCCAGGTGCTGGTGGCTCACACTTGTAATCCTTGCTACTCAGGAGCCTTGAGATCTGAGAATCAAGTTTCAAAGTCAGCCTATGAAGAA